TTAAATCATGGAGAGTGAGGAAGAGCATGCTATGATATGAAAATGGAGAGAGAAGCAGGGCCCAGATCATACAGGAGTCTTGCCATTTTAACTGCTCAACTTTAAGAGCAATGAGAAGCCATGGATATGATTGAAGAAGAGGAATGTTATGGACTGAATTGTGTCCCTCAAAATTCATATGTTGATGCTCTAAACCCAAATGTGGCTGCATTTGGAAGTGGGGCCTTTAAGTGAAGTTACATGGGTGGGATCCTACTCCAATAAGACTGGTATCTTTATTAAAAAAATATTAAAAAGGAAGAGACAATGCTCTCTATACATGTGCATACAGAGCAATGCAGAGGTAGGTAATGCAGGACTGATACAGTACTTCCCAGTGCAAGGAAACCAGGTCATGTGAAGACACAGTGAGAGAGCGGCTATCTGCAAATCAAGGAAGCGTGCTGGAACCTTGATCTTGGACTTCTATCCTCCAAAACTGTGAGAAATTTATTTTGTTTTAGCCACCCAGTCTGTGATATTCTATTATGGCAGCTTAGGTAGACTAATACAGGGAATGACATTTGGTTTGCATTTTAAATCAATCCCTTAGCCAGTGGTTCTCAACCTTCTGGCCCTTTAAATACAGTCCCTCATGTTGTGACCCAACCATAAAATTATTTTCGTTGCTACTTAACTGTAATGTTGCTACTGTTATGAATCGTAATGTAAATATCTGATATGCAGGATGGTCTTAGACGATCCCTGTGAAAAGGTGGTTTGACCGCCAAAGGGGTCGCGACCCACAGGTTGAGAACTGCTGCTTAGGCTCTTGTGTAGAAAACTCATTGGTAGGAGGCTGGAATAGATATGAGTAAATATGGGGCTATCAATTCATAGGTTTTTTTAAAATTAAGGGCAAGCCCTAGCCGGTTGCCAGTTCAATTCCAGTCATGGCATATGCCTGGGTTGCAGGTCAATCCCTGCTAGGGGGCATGCAGGAGACAACCGATCAATGTTCTGTTCCCACATCAATCTTCTGCTCTCTCTCCCTCTCCCTCCCCCTCTCTCTCCAAAAATTAATAGCAATATATTTTTAAAAAATTCCAGACAAGAACTATTGATAACTCTGATTAGGTAGTGATGAGGACTTGCAGTGAAATGGAATATTAGTAGGAAGTTATTTTAACTGAGTGACAAAAATAATAACAGTATCTTACTTGAGATTGTTAATTTCTCTTTTAAGTGAAAGTCCAGAGGTAGGTAATGCAGGATTGATATAGTACTTCACAGTGCAAGGAAACCAGGCTTCTATTTTGCTTTATGTAATTCCATTTCCTAAGGTCACCTCATGGTCCGAAATGGCTGCTGCAGCTCCAGCCATCATGTCTATATTCCTGCTAGCAGAAGGGAAGAGAAAGAGGGGGAGAATGAGATTCCACTTCAATTTAAGGAAACTCCAAGGACACAGCACACATTCCATTGCCAAAACTAAGCCTCGTGTCCACATTTAACTGAAAGGGAGGCTGTTCAGAGTATCCGGCTAAAACTAGAGGGTTCTATTACTCACAGAAGAAGAAAACAGAGTTTGAAGGAGGACCAGGAGTCTCTAGCATAGGAGAAATATATAGGACCTAATGATGGCTTGGATTGGGGCATAAGAGAGAGGGGCAGGAGTAGAAGTTTCTGGCTCCTTCCACCAGATGAATGGATGTAGCTGTCATTCACTGACGTTAGATCCTAAGTTTCCAGTCTCTCACCACCCATTCCTGATCCTCTTCCTTCATCCCCTATAAATACTAATCATCAACCTACTGAATTACCAATCTTCTAAAAATACATTGGATACATTAGAGATGGATGCAGGTTTGTAGGGCCTGAAGCTCATTTCAGGGACCCATTCTAAGAGATTGAAAACAAATTACAAATACAAATTAAATATGAGGCCCTGGAAGGGCACGATGCAAATGAGGGACCTCAAACGTGAACTTCATTCACTTTAGGATGCTTTACGCCTCACCTTTACTTTATCACCAATAACAAAACTGTAAGATGCCATGGATTGTTAGGTGTATCCTGGTTTCAGAGAAATTAAATGTAGAGAGAAATGAATCTTAAAGTTAGTGAAATAATCTTTGTTTAGATCTCAGAATTGGCCATTATATTAGTCGAGGATCTTCAGAAGAAGGGGTAGGGAGAAAAGTAGGTAGGTAGATATAGATATTGGGAGAGAGGCTGATTGATTTACTAGGAGGAATTGACTGCCATCTACAAGCTGGAGATCCAGGAAAGTGGTGGTATAATTCCAACCCAAGTCTAAAGGCCTGAGAACCAGGGAAGTCAATGGTATAAATTCCAGTCCAAAGGCAGGAGAAGACCAATGTTCCAGCTCAAGCAAGCATGCAGGAAGGAAAAACAGGAGGAGACAGATTTCTTCTTCCTCTTCTGTTCTCTTCGGGCTTTCATTGGATTGGACGATGCTCACCCACACTGGGGCAGGCAATCTACTTTGCCAACCGCACCAATTCAATGTTAATCTCATCCAGAAGCACTCTGAAATCATGTTTAACCTGAACATCCCATGAAGAAGTCTTGTTGACACATAAAATTAATCATCAGAGCTATGTGTATATCCTCTTTCCTTTGCCTGCAAGCTCTCTTTCCTCCTCCTCCTGGCAAATTTCTAGTTATCCTTAAAAGTCAACTCTGAATCTCCCTTCTTCAGGAAGCTTCCTGAACACTTCCCAACCCCTGGGGAGAGCCCTCTCATAGCACCCAGCGTGGATCTATATGGAGCCCCCTGACCCTGGTGAAAGCATATGCTCACTTAGTCTAAATAGCCTACTAGGTCCCCAGCTCCCTGAGTGTAGGAATGACACCTAATTGATGTGTATGTCAACAATGCTGAACATATATTTTGTAGAGGCTCAGCAGGTGTTTACGGAAGGAAGGAAGGAAGGAAGGAAGGAAGGGAGGAAGGAAGGAAGGGATGTTCTTCTCCATGAGATAATTTGGCAGCCCAAAGTATCTATATTAGGCTATAAAATGTATAACTCTCAGATGAACAGAAAGAATGGCTCTTCTTTATTATTTATAACTGATTTAGTTTTGCTTGTGAATCCTCATCCCACTGAGCAGTAGAAGGAAGGAAAAAGGGGAGAGGAAAAATGGGAGACTCGTGAGCTTAAATTTATCAATTATAGGTATCCTAGTATCCTCAAGTTTAACTGCCCCTTTAGGTAGCTGGTCTCTTTCAGAAAAATTGTTAGTCTCTCCTCTCACTTCTCCCTCTTGCTTCATGGGCATTCACATGATCCCATGGGAGGGTTGGAAAAATGAGGTCTGAGCTCTGCACAGCAATTGTAAGTCCTCAATAAGGTAAAGCAGGTTTCATCTGGCCTTTTGTGGCCCCAGCTGGCAACTACTCCTGAGACCAAAAGTTCCAGCCATTTACTTCCAGTTGTAAAGCCTCAATGCAATGTGACCTCTTAGCTCCACTGTTCACCATCTTTCATCATTTTACTTCCAGAAGGGAATGCATGAATATGTGGATTCTCCCACACAGCACCTGCAGGCCGCTGAGAACCAGCAGGTATCTCAGGATACCAAACAAGGCCACCTCTGCCACTGTCCCCGAGTCATGTTCAGGGGCGCAGAGCCAAATGCAAGGCCTCTCCTTCTTCCTTAGTGGAGTAGACCACCAGTTCTCTACAGGTTCTCTATTACCACATATATTTGGGTGCTTTTCTACTACCCTGCCCCCCACCCCCATCCTGAGACTTCAGCCAGAACAGGATAGGTATGGTATGCCTGCCTGCTGCACTTATTCAAGCTCCGTCTCCATCCACCCTCCACCAGACCAAAGTGGAAAGACACCCTCCTTCCCACTCAGCAGGTGCTTTCCTTATGTCATAGCCTCCATCTTCTCTACCATATGGCAGAGGCTAAATGACACTTTCAATTTTGCCAAGGTTTGGATTTTGAAGTTAATGAAGCTTTAAATTTTTTAAAACCTTTCTTTCTTAGTAATGTCTGTGCCCCGCCCTCCCCCCCCCAAGACTACTGTGTTTCTTGGGACTCAAAAGTCTTATTTTTTGAACAATTCAAAAGTTGTTTTTCTTCTGCATTCCAAGTATCACAGTTATGTTTCTCCTTGGAGGCTGATGGCTGTTCCTGGACAACCAAGGAGAGGGTTTCATAAGAGAAATGCAGAATTGATTAACACGTTTTCAAATGTTATTATCTTCATTATGCAATTTTCTTGCAGCTGCCAACCCATTCATTCATTTATATGGCCTTTTTAATGTCCCACATTATTTCCTAGAGGGCAAATTTATCTCTATTTTAGAGACACCAGGAGGAATATAATAAGTGTCATAATTGAGTTTCAAATTTTGAGGCAGTCACTGCACAACAGAACTGAATGGATATGTAATTTGAGTATGATCCCAGAGATGACAGGGATTGCGAAAAATCTAAGCAGAACCTAACCCTTTGAACCCATTGAACTTCCAAATCCCTCCAGTAAAAAACCTCTCCTGGGCTTAGATGCTGGGCTTCTGTCACCTATATACACTAGGTGGCCGGAGGCTACCTGAAGCCTGCCCCAACTGAGCTCGCACTGGTGATTAATATGGCACTTATTCTGTGCCCCAAGGCTCAGGACATCCATTTATAACAGTGATTCCCACCCTGCGTCCTGGCAACGTTTGACAATGTCTGGTCACATTCTTGGTTGTCACAACTGAGGAGGTGCTACTGTCCTCTAGCGGGTAGAGGCCAGGGATGCTGCTGAACATCCTTCCACGCACAGGGCGCCACACCACCCACAGTGAAGGATTCTTGGACTCCAAATGTCAATAGGCTTAAGTTGAGCAACCCTGATGCAGAACATGCTATTGAATTGATTCGAGCCGTATGGATCTTGAATGTGAAGAGTGCATTTTGGCACGGTCGCCCAATCACGGTCAGGTTAGGAGCCTATCGGCGACCGCGTCCGGCTAATTTTGAGCCGCGCCTCCCACCGTCCGCGGTCACGTGTCGGCCCCAGACCGCTTCGGTGGGTGGGGGTGGCTCTGCCGGGCGTCGGGGCAGGAAGGGAGGCGGCCGCGGTGCCATTCTTAAAGGGGCCCGAGGGAAGGTGACTGCCGGAAGGAAAATGGTGAGCTGCCGCCCGCGAGGGTGGGGGACAGAGGGCTGGGCCAGCCCGCTGGGCTTTCCTGTTTGCCGGGGCCGAGCCCGGCGGGCAGCGCCCAGGGTGGGTCGGCGGCCGCTTCCGCCCCGGCTGCTGGCTGGAGTCCAGCGC